GATGCCGTGCGTGCGCCCAAAGACAGTTGGACATGGTGGTGTATTAGAGGTAAAATATGATATAAATACTGTTCGGTTTCTGGCACAAACCGATCGTTTCGTGTCTTAGGACATCAATGTGTCGTCACGAGCCGCAGGGTTTAATTTGGATTTGTCTGTGCATGTTTTTTTTACTCTCATAGATTTTGTTACCATTGCCATGCATTATACGACTGACAGACTGCAACGGTTAAAGTTAAAAATCATCATATGTGTTCTACTGAAGAAACAAAGTCACCTACATCTTGGATGCCCTGGGGGTAAGCAGATAAACATACAATTTTCATTTTTGGGTGAACTATCCCTTTAAATAGTCTGAATTCAAAGTCTTGAAAAACGGAACAAAATTAAGTGAGTTTAAAACAAGAAAAATATCTGTCTACTTAATTTGATCAATTTCACAAAAATGTGCTTCTCAAGTAAATGTAATGTATCTTGATTTAAGAATCTTAAGACATTTGCACTGTATTTCATGTATACTCATTTTTATTCTTAACTGTTTTAATTCATTTTAAATATTTTTTTTATCATTTTACATTCCTTGTTTTATTGTTGTGATTATTTTTTATGATAATTTTAATTCTTTTTATATGCAAAGCACTTTGAATTACCATTGTGTATGAAATGTGCTATATAAATAAACTTTGCCTTTGCACTGAAAAACAAGGCAACAGTAGGCTACTGAGGAAAAACACCATTTTTGCAGTGTGTTCAGGAGTTTGTAAAAGGTATTTCCATATTGGTTGGGAATACAGGTATTCAAGCATTTTTTTTTTAATTAATTGAAAAGTAATCTGTTGGAAGTTGTATTTCCAAACTTTAAAAAGTGTTGCTAATTTTCTACCATTTTCAAAACTCGTTTCCATAAACATTTACATGTAGAGTACATATTGATGTGTTGTGTTCCCTTCAATTTATTTTTATTTTTTTACTTGGTCTTAAAACGGTCTTTGAAAAGTCATACATTTACCTCAATAAAACATACAGAAACCCTGTTTTTGATGTTTCTGTATACATTAGTTTACCATTATGCTAAAATGTGTACACTGAGTTTATATTGTAGTAGAGGACTTGCTACTATTTTGTTTACATCAATAGACAGGGAGAGAGGTCAATGTTGGTAAAGGCTTAATTTAGCCTGCATATGTTAGACGTAATAGGTGTACAGTTGCTGCATGGGATTATTTTAAATTTACATCTCTGACTCGCAGCTTTTGCCTGTGTTTCGGTTTTGGCTTGATTGCGTTCACTGCTGTCAGGTGGGGCTTTCTTATGAACAACAGGTCTAACCGGGACAAGTATGGATAAGCTGCTAGCAGATTTAGTGACAAAAGCAGTGTGGTTTTGTTGACACGTGCTGTTAGAAACTGTGGGGAACACTCCCTGAAAAAGCCTTCATCTGAAACTGGGATGTGGAGGGATAATCATTCACTTGTCTTTTCGTTATGAAATAAATGACTAGGCAATATGAGACTAAAGCAAAATGCTTAAAACAAGATATTTTGTAGTAAACGACATTTGGTCACCTAAAACATAAATAATCAGTAATAACATTAGAAGAATACTAAATAAGTGTTAATCTCTCCTGAATTTGTCGGTGCACCAAAATCCGAATCCCGGAAATAAAGTGCGCTCGCGCGAAGGGGGGTGGACCAACTGAGGCACATTCAACAGCGAGAAAAAAGTTTAGTCTCTCAAGGGAAACGAACACGGACATGCAGTTTGATGAGCTGAAGCACATATCGATGTATAAACTACGAATCTATGGACTAATAAACGGATGAAATGCGCAGAATGGAACGTGTAATGAAAGCGTGCTCTTGAAAATTTAATAAGAGATGAGGCCATAATTATCGGTACGGGTTACTTAATTTTCTTTTACCAGTAACTTTACTCGTTCTTTTTATATTTATGCTATTCACGAATTATTTTTATTTTATTTCTGTGACAAGTGAATTACCGGGGAAACAAACTTTGGGTTTAGTTTTGAGAAGATGCTTTTTGCTTTCACAAGGCAACACCCGACTGATGTTTATAGCGAAACCATCCAATGGAAACGACTGGTTTAATTCATCTTTTCTAAACGAAGACTGATGTTGTCAACACCAGTGGCCTCACAGCGTTGGACGTTTACAGCGTAAAGGAACTCTCTTAGGGCACACCACATACAGAACTGTGAGGAATTAAAAGAATAGCTCGCATCGACTGGGTTCTTTGTAATTACCAAAATGACCGTCAAACTGGATTTTGAAGAATGCCTAAAAGACTCCCCGCGATTCAGGTAAGCTACTCTGTTTTTTAATATCAAATATTACAAATATTTAAACAACAGAAAATAGTCGCAAAATAATAATTATATATATATACACACACACACACACACACACACACACACACACATGTCTGGTCAGCTATCCTTGTGGGGACATCCCATAGGCGTAATGGTTTTTCTACTCTACAGACAGTATTTTCTATTGCCCTACACCAACCCTACCCCTAAACCTACCCCTCACAGGAAACTTTCTGCATTTTTAGATTTTCAAAAAACTTCATTCTGTATGATTTATAAACTTTTGTACCCATGGGGACCACAATTTAGGTCCCCACCGTGACACGAGTCCCCACGAGTCTGTGTGTAGTCAGGTTTAAGTCCCCACCAGGATATATAAACCAGTACACACACACACACAAAAGACAGGTCACGTGCACCACATTAAAATTATAAACTTCACTGTCATATGCAGAAGCAATGACATAGCAGGTTTCTTTCCAAGCAGTTCCAGGATCAGGTCAATGAGTTCAGCTTAATGGTTTTGGCCCAGACGTGCTTGATTAAAACTGATCTCAGATCAGCCCTGAATGTAGCCGCAACGGTTAATGTAGCGCACAGCACTGGAAAGAATTTGCTTAGGTCCATACAGAAGGAATGAATGGGATGATGATTAAGTGGCTCTGTGGACAGTAGGAGGGGAATTTTTGGTAACACTTTATTTCGATAGTCCACTTTAGACATTCTATTAACAGTAAGTAACTTTGCAACTACAAGTCAACTAGCAGTTAGTAGAGTATTAGTAGACTGTCTGCTTAATATCTTCTAACTCTTTCTTTGTCAGCTTATTCTACTAACCCTAAACCTACCCTAACAGTCTACTCTGAGAGTTAGTAGACATGTAGTTGCAAATTAATGAGAATTAGCTGACATGTAGTTGACATGTAGTTACAAAGTTACTTATAGTTAGTGGAATGTCTAAAGTGGACTATCGGAATAAAGTGTAACCTAATTTTTTTTTACTCTGATGGCCTTTTTTTTTTTTACCATTTACGTGAATATATAATGCTATTATATATTGTCTAGAAAATAATTTTTTTAAAGGATATTGTAATAAGAATAACACGTTTTGAGTTGTTTTAAAATCACTATTTGACTTGAAAGTTTCTTTCTTTCTTTCTTTCTTTCTTTCTTTCTTTCTTTCTCTGGTTTGGCTGGAGATTTTAGTGGGCAGCATAATGGAAAGTTTGAGTGCCATGTTTTAGTGGCTGCAGAGGGAACAGACTCAGAGGGTGTAGCGAGTTCAAAAATTAGGTCATCACCACTCAGAAATGTACTTGTATAAACACACAATATCCCTTTTCATCTGTCATATGCGGATCTAAACATACAGAACATGTGGAACATATCTACAACAAATGTACAGCCGCGCATGGATGCTTTTGACCTTCATACACAGAATGCAACTGAAAAAGAAAGAGTTCGCATGAAGGTGTAAGAAGGCCACTGGCTTGAACACATTCGAGGCCTAGTTTACTTCAGACTGCGGCTTCCTCCGGTTGCTAAGTGACGGCTGGGTAGTGGTGGGGGAGCAGGAAGTGAGACGAGAGATACTGAAATGGTAAACAGGAGACAGGAAGTGTGTTTTAGGGGTGGATTGCTTCGGAAGCTACAACTTTTTCTTCAATATACACACACATTTATGCACAAAAAAGTGCGTTTATGATGAATACACATCCATGTAAGCTCACATTAAGGCTGGAATACACTACAGATTCTAAAACACTAGGCATTATACACTTACCAACTTTGTTAATGGTTACAGAAACTGGGCATCATAGACTAAACGACTGAAGATCACACACAAATTCAAATCATGTCGACCACAATCCTCTTTGCTAGGAGATGCATGATTATTGAAAACAATGTGTTTAAAAAATGTCTTGACATCTCAAACATGCTTAATATTCTTCAACTGGATATAATCGTAGTCTGAAGCTAAAAAAATCAGAGTCTGTGATCATCATACACTATGCGATTTTCTGTGAAATCGGTCAGCTTTGCAGACTTTCAGCAACTAGCGTTGACTCGCCTAGACTGTAAATTTGAGCAAAAATCATATCATGTTTTCCAGGCTTTACTTAAAGGTCCCATATTGTCAAAACTGAAATTTCCTGGCTTTTTTCATGATAACTGAGATCTAGGTGCTATGTAACTACCATATAAGTTTCAAAACAGTCAGTCCACAGTAAAATGCACACCGCCTGCATAAAGTAGCTGTGATTTTTCACGAACCGTTGTGACTTCCGTAAAAAGTTGACGTCAGAACTACACAGTCACCGCCTGCAGTCCCCACCCCGAGCACCGCCCACCGTCCCACTCTCCTTTTGCCAAACCCCCAGACAACATCGCGTCCATGCTATTGCTGAGCAACAACAACACGGAAACATGTCAAAAAGGTTAACTTTAACCACGAAACCAGATCGGCCGACCAACGTTACACTCTTACTCAACGGATGGACGATCTGACAGGATTGTTACTATGCGGTGGATCACATCTAATGTGTATAGTAAAGACAAACTCACCGTGTCTATCTAGTCATGATGAAGATGTATATACATTTCAATTTCAGCAGGCAACTATTTTTACAGCTACATTATTGTTCCAGCCACAATTAATCACAACAATGTATATACAATTACAAATGATTATATATAAATCGTCAGTTTGTTGTTTTACACACATGCACACAGACATTATTTCATACACGACATAGTCGTGAGATGCAAGAAACATAGACATATGGCAAGAAATCTGTAGACGCGCCCATAACAACAAAAGACAATACTTTATTGAACCTTTTCTGATAAGAAGTGTGCGCTGCAAAAGCGAGCATTTTTGACAGCGTTTCTGTCCAGTCTGCTCGTTTTATCGCATTTAACCACAGCTGTCGTCGGTTTTTTGTCTGGCAGTGGCAGCAGATATGCGATCAAATTTCTAATTTGAGGCTGTATTACGTCGATTCTGGCACCCAACATCACAACAAGATGATATTTTAAGCTCCTTATGTAGCCGAATCTGCACTGATTTAAATGGGCCGCCTCCAGTTTCCCCTTTGTTTTGCTGCCTCCAGCTAGCGCTGTGACGTCGGCTGACCCTAGTTACCTGTGGTTGGCCTGGCCGTGCGTCACTCAGAAAACAACAGGCCAATCAGAAGAGAAGCTCATGAATATTAATTAGACAGACCAAAATCGACCTGTTCTCAGCAGAGCTCCTGAGAGAGGAGCTGTAAAAAATATATTGAGATGGTTTTTGGTACTTATACCGCAAATATATATTCTTAAGGACATCAAAACCTAAAATAAAACTCCAGAAAGGTGTAAAATATGGGACCTTTAAATAACACATAGTATGGTAAATAAAAAATAAAAAAGTAAAAATTTAAAATGTTTTGTAATATTACTGTTTCTGTGTTAATAATTACATTAAATTTTGAGTTGAAGAATATAAGCATCATATTTCTCTCTGTCTGTACTGTATGTGTGAAAAAGCAGGAAACCACAAAGAGCTGAGCTATTTTTCTGTGTTCTTTGAGAAAGTCTGTCAGTCACACATAAGCGAAGATTCACTGATACAAATCCACATTTGAATACAGATATATATGCACACAGTCACACAGCTCTACTGAATGAAACAATAGTTTCCTCGACTAACTTGGTTGTGTTTTGTGCAAGCAAATGTAGCGTTTTTAACAGGTTGAGTTAAGTTAAATGGGATATCATTCTTTTTTCAGTTCAGTGTGTGAAAAATATGTGCTATGTTTCAACAGGGCAGAAATCGAGAAGGTGGAGGTCAACGTCAATGAGCTGGAGACGAGACTCGAGAAGGTGAGGAAATGCTGAGAGACTAATCATTAGGTGCAGAATCACTCTGAATAATGTTCATACTTATGAACAAACCAACAACACTTAGATTTAAATGTCAGCACATAACTCGTTCTACTATGGACATTATTGACAGCTCAAAACATGTGGCTTGTTGAGGAGAAAAGTGAAAGAAGTACTACTTTTCTAAGTGCTCAAACTTATGTCCTTGCACCTTGTGAATGATAAAACATATAACAGGTGAAAAAAATCCCATAGACTTATACTGACGTCATATCTAGAGATTTGTCTGCAGTGAGTTTTGCATGTTCAAGCACCACACCCACTCACATTTTCTTCAGAATGTGTACAAAAGTCTCTGCTTCTGTTTTAAACCATAACAGAACGCAGTCTCATATTTAGACTCACACTATAAATACACAATAGACACCCAAATATCATTGCCGCAGGGTTTATGTGTTTGACCTTCAATGCTCAATTCCCTAAATTGAAACAAAGTCATTGTTCCTCTCTTCTGGCGTGCGTCTCCCGCTCTATGGTCTTGTGAAGAGATATAGTGTTATACAGAGGAACTACAAAGAGGAATTGCCAATTGAAAAGCTTTTAACCACAATTCAAGATAATTTCCCTTGAATTTATTAGACTGGACTGTTTCAAACCACACTATTCATCTCATGATAATTGGTTTAACAATTGCTCACAAAATTTGTTTCGGAAGTTTTCATGAGGTTTATGTGTATGTTATGAATAACATGACATTATTTAACCTTCTGGAAAAAACCTGTGTTTGTGTAGTTGGTGAAACAGTGCCACACTATGCTGGATGCAGGCCGTGCCTATTGCCAGAACAGTAAGAGCTTTGTAAATGGCCTCAAAGAGCTGGGACACCACTGTTCTGAGGACCGAACCATGGGGGTGAGTGTATCAACAGTCCTGCAACTGTACACAAAACCCACGTGGGCTAGCTGATACCTGAAGCTGTAAACGAACATGTGATCACCCATAACAGCATCAAAATAAGAAGGAAGTGATACAAAATTATTGTCAATTCCAGAACTGTATAATTACACATATGACTGTACAGTAGATTCCAGATCAATATGAGAAACAACAAAAATGACCAGTGTAGTGTAAAATATTGGGTTGGAAGCGTTAAAGGCACAATATGTAAGTTTTCGCCGCTAGAGGGCGCGTATTCAAAACAAACAAAGAAACAAAGGCGTAGTTTGATGACGCCGTGACTGAGTGTGGAATCATGGGAGTTGTCGTCTTCATCCCCACAGCCGATGCAATCCGACGGGACTCGGGCAGAAATCATGTTCATGGATGAGCTAATGTATTAAAGATTTATTAACATCGTAGTATGAAGCAGAGTGAGGCTGAAAGCCGTCGAAGCGAAACGAGGCCGCTGAAGCAATTTCTAATGAGAGACGAGCGCGACGCACGGTTCGAAAGCAGCGGAGCTTTTATTATGCCACAGTCGACCACTTCCACTCCTTCCGGTCGTGCGTACGTGCGTAGTTTTATCATACTAGATACATTTGAAAGTTCTGTTATAATGCTACTCTGTGCGGTCGTCGCCCGTCTAATAAAACGCACAACATATTAAAGCGTCTTTGGTGTTTCCATGTTTTCTACAAAACAAAACCGGAAATCGAGGGGTTATGACGTCATTGGCAGGCGACACAATGACACTTTGGACACGGTCCGTGTCACTAGGTAAAATTGCTTATTTCTCTGGATTTAAACATTCTTCGAAACATTTGGGATAATGTAAGTACACAAGTCAGCAAAATATATAACACTGTTCTAGTGGTTTTTGGATATTTTAATAAAAAAATCTTACATATTGTGCCTTTAAGCATTTGAGACAAAGATTTGAAAATACTAATGTAAGTGCTAACAGAATATATGTGTGCCTAGACATTATGAAAAAAGAAAACATAGAGCATACAGCTATGGAAAAAATAAAGACATCCACTGGAAAATCCACTTACTCTGGATTCATCTGGAGTTATAGCTATGTGTTTGAGTAAAACATAATTTTTGTGTTATTCTGCAAACTACTTATGACATTTCTTCCAAATTTGTAAATATAATGTTGTCATTTAGAGCATTAAATGACAGTTGCTCAAAATAACAGGTAACACTTTACAATAAGGTTCATTAGTTAACATTAGTTAACATGAACTAAGAATGAACAATACTTCTACTGCATTTATTAATCTTAGTTAATGCTAATTTCAGCATTTACTAATGCATTTTTAAAAATCAAAGATTGTGTTTGTTAACATTAGTTAATGCACTGTGAGCTAACATGAACTTACAATGAATGATTTTATTGTTATTAACTAACGTTAACAAAGAGGAATAAATACTGTAATAAATGTATTGTTCATTGTTTGTTCATGTTAGTTAACACATTAACTAATGTTAATAAATGACACCTTATTGTAAAGTGTTACCAAATAACAAAAAAGATGCCATGTTTTCAGACATGTTATATTTATTTTTAGACAACACAATAACAATTTTTCAACTTCAGAGGAGTTAAGAAATCAGCATTTGGTGGAATAACCCTGATTTTCAATCACAACAAATGAAAGCATTTGTTTTTTTTTAACAATTGTAAAAATTCTGCAAAAGAAAAAGAATTCTCTAAATGATAATATTTTTATTTGAAATTTGGAAGAAATGTTATCAGACCTTTATAGAATAAAACAAATATTAACATTTTACTCAAACTTATACCTAGTAAATGCAGAGAAACTGAGAATTTTCAAGTGGTCTCTTAATTTGTTCCGTAGCTGTATATATGACTGTTCAAAAGTTTGGGTTCAGTAAGATTACTTTTTGTAAAGAAATTAATACATTTGCTCAGCAAGTATGCATTAGATTGACAGTAAAGACATTTATAATTATACTGTTTTCAACATTATTAATTATAAGAAATATTTCGTTAGCACCAAATCTGCATATTAGAATGATTTCTGAAAGATCATGTGACACTGAAGACTGGAATAATGATGCTGAAAATTCAGCTTTGCATCACAGGAATTAATTACATTTTAAAATATATTATAATAGAAAACAATTATTTTAAATTGTTATAATATTTCACAATATTACTGTTTTTCCTGTATTTTTGATCAAATAAATGTAGCCTTGGTAAGCATGAGACGTTTTTTTAAAAACAAAAAATACTTGATCAAAAGTGTAAGTGTTTGCTGAATTGAAAATAAAATTGGAAAATAACGTTCCTGTGTAGTTATATGTGTTGAAATTGATTGAAGTTAATAGAATCCTAATAGAGGCTGCGCTTCTTTCTTTCAGGAATGTTTAGAAAAGTTTTCTAAAAAGCTGTCAGACATCGTCACTGCTCAAGAGGTGAGTCAAGTTCTTTCTTTTTACTTTTACTGTTACCACTGGTGACCAATGTGCCAACAATCTCTCTGGAGATCCTGTTCCTGTTTTTACTTTTCTTCTGGCTTGTGTCCCATTCCATGAATGATGTCTCTCCCCACAGGAGGTAATTGAAACCACACAAAAGTCTGTGAAGTTGAAGCTACAGAATTTTGTGAAAGAGTAAGGTGTTTTCTTCCTCTGCCTCTTCACTAAAGGAACATTTTCTTTACTGTATCACTCTACCAATAATATGAAGCTGTCTGTAAACATATGCATGAACTTGGGAGTAAAGAATAATTCATAAATCTCATGCATTTTTCCATTTATTACTGACTCTTCTGAAAGAACGGTTCTATTGCAACTATTAAAGGGTTAGTTCACCCAAAAATGAAAATTCTGTGATTAATTACTCACCCTCGTGTTGTTCGAAACCCGTAAGACATTCGTTCATCTTCGGAACACAATTTAAGATATTTTGGATGAAATCTGAGGGCTCTCTGACCCTCCCATAGACAGCAAGGTAACTACCACATTCAAGGTCCAGAAAAGTACCAAGATGATCGACAAAGTAGTCCGTGTGACATCAGTTGTGCACAGTTGCATCTTGGTACTTTTTTGCGCAAAGAAAACAAAAATAACGACTGTATTCCACATTTTCGTCTCTACTGCATCACTTGTGGACGTGCGTTCACGACAGTACCATGACACGAGCGTGTGGCGGCGCTGACCCAGATCCGGCGTAATGACGTCATCACGCCGGGGTCACCACACCGCCACACGCTCGCATCATGGTACTGTCGTGAACGCACGTCCACAGGTGATGCAGTAGAGACGAAAATGTGGAATACAGTCGTAATTTTTGTTTTCTTTGCACAAAAAAGTATTCTCGTAGCTTCGTAACTTTACAGTTGAACCACTGATGTCACACGAACTATGGACCTTGAACGTGGTAGTTACCTTGCTGTCTATGGGAGGGTCAGAGAGCCCTCAGATTTCATCAAAAATATCTTAAATTGTGTTCCGAAGATGAACGAAGGTCTTTCGGGTGTTTGGAACAACACGAGGGTGAGTAATTAATGACAGAATTTTCATTTTTGGGTGAACTAACCCTTTAACTTTATCCCTGCTGTATCTCTCCTGAAGGGATGTGAAGCGTTTTAAGGATGTACGGAAGGAGTTTGAGCGTAGCAGTGAGAACCTGGAGGCAGCGCTGAGCAGGAACGCACAGGCACCTCGCGGAAAACAGCATGAGGTGGAAGAAGCCAGCAATAACCTCCTGAACACACGCAGAGCCTTCAGATCAGGGGCACTGGACTATGTGCTGCAGGTACAAACATATACAGTGGCCTAAGAATATACTGTACTAAGTGGCATTTGTCTGAACACACAAAAAAATGCATAAAATATATTAGGGTTTAAACTATAAAACACTGCAGATATTGTTCAAAATTAAAAAGAATGCCATTTTCTGGTTCACATCACATACCAGTTGTTTGCAGATTTGATTTATTATTTAATGCAAAGAAAATCATATTTTCTTTGCATTAAGTAATTTATTGTAATAATTTATTGTATTTTTTGTGTACCAGGATAAACCCGAAGCTTCTGTTCTTGTACTGAGTATTGTAATAATCCTTTTTTTGCTTTTGCTTGTATTAAGCTATGAATGCTTATGTATTATTGGCATTCTCTTTCCTCTTAACTTTAGATTAATGTCATTGAGTCCAGGAAGAAGACTGAAATTCTAATGGCGGTATGTGTCATAATGTAATATATAATTGAGAATCTTATTATAATGATCAGGACTGACTGGTAACTTAAAGTCACTGTCGCTTGTGTGTTTGTCTTCTGTGTGAATGTGTGTCAGATGCTTTCTCTTATGGAGGCCCAGGCTTTGTTCTTCCAGCAAGGCTACCAGTCACTCACAGAACTGGAAAGCTACCGCAAGCAACTGAGTGAGGAGGTAAGAAATGTGTCTGTCAGTCTTATCTGTCAGCTAATATGTATCTCAAAAGCGTGTAAAGCTGCTTGGACACATGACTGAAAAAAGAGGAAGGAAAGGAAAAGTGTGACAAATGCAAGTGTTACTTGGAGGGGAAAACATATCGAATTGATCATGTTGCAAAGTTTAAAAAAATCTGAAGTGTAAAGTTTGAATTGAGAAAGAGGACAGAAGGTCTACTGACAGGAATGTGATGGTACATTCAGAGATCACATGATGGCCCATCACGACAGGAAGTTTTCTGCCAGAGTGAGCAACAACAGGAAACAGTATGCATCACACACGGGTATTGTGTGTGTTGGCAAATACTTCTGTGCTTGCAGAACTGTAAAACTGCCTGAAAAACAGCTCAACACTTTTCAAGAGTATAAACAAACCCCAACTGCAGTTTGTGGACTTAAAAGTCAAATGCAAATTCTAAGATCTGCTAATATCTGTGTTCTTTTGATTCTACAGACAAGATCAAAAACTGCTCATTTGATGTTTAAAAGCTGTTGAAGATAGATTATTTATGCAACAATGTTTTGACAAAGTAATGACTCGATGTTACTGAGGAGCATAATGTTGAAATGTAGAAGTTTTAGACAGGAAACGTACTCACCTTCTACTGGCCTGCGAAAACCACAGAACCTGCTCATAGCTTCCTGTAAGCACAGGAAATGGTGAAAAGCTTAGCAAGACAAATGTCAAGAGAGATCTCTAGAGCCTATTCATAGTAGCGATGTTCTTTAGAGCGATATACAGATTGAAAATGAGAAGATGGAAACATTGTTGGGATACAGGGGCAACGTAAAATCGGAGGTGGCTGTTTTTACAGATTTAGTGTTAGAGAACCAGGGACAAGAGGAAATGTAGTGTTTTGATGAAGTGACAGCAGGGAGTGGAAAAGAGGGGGAGAGAACAGGAAAGTCCGTGGAAGATAACGAGAAGGTGGAGGTGATCTTCATGAACTCTTCTTGATATAGGTCAGGAAGTTGAGCAAGTGCCAGCATGTCTTACATCCTTTCTCATTCAGTTCAGCCCTGAGTGACGTGCACTTTGACTCTTCACTCTAACTGTGGTCCAAAAACCCACCGCACCCCAGACAGACTACAATTATAGCAGACTTATCATCACAACTCTTGACTGGAAAAGTCACATAATAACTAGGCCTATACACAGCAGTGGGGATTTAGACTGAGCCTCTGTGCATGTGTTTATAATTGTATGATATGCAATTAAACTTCCATTCTGAGATCTAGTTAAATGGTCCAAACCTCAGTCTCAAAGAGTTTCCATCTTTTCAGGAGTTTCTATCCTATCTGCCAAACGTTCACATGCCCAATTCTGATTTTCAGCTCAAACCTGATGTTTGTTAGGTTGTCACATCATGTTTAAATTGGTATAAGATAGTTGTCCTTGACTGCATGCGTAAATAAGTATATAAATATAATATGAATGTACATTTGTATTTATTTATATAAATTCATTTGCACATCATTCATGGATAATTTTATTTATAGGTCATATTAAAGACAAATCAAGCTTGCTGTTATGATGAAAATTAGATTGATGTAACATCAAATAACTTCATTTCAACCTGACTTTCCGTAAAGGAAAAAATCGGATTAGAATTGGATTTATTTCTGCATATATCAAAGTGACCCAGGTCAGCATTTAAAATGTCAGTCACACTGACTTTTGCATGTTGCACATCATCCACACACACACATATACAAACTGGGCCACTGTGGTGTGAACAGTGCCCATATAACTTTGATTTAGACACAAATACAAGACTGAACTGTAAAATGTGATTGTCATTTCTCCTCTTTTTCTCCAGTATACTCAACTAGTCCTGAATTCTGCAAGAGAGAAAAGGGACATGGAGCAGAGACATGGTGCTGTCAAGAAAAAGGTAGTAAGACTCTCTCTCTCAGACACACACACACACACCATTGTATCTGTACACAAAGACACTATACATGCATCTAAGGGAAGATATATTTGTGTGTCTGTCTTTAGGATGTGTCATATGATGACTCCATAATGGACTTCAGTCCAGATGCACCCAATGGCATCGCGATGGAAGGTTACCTGTACAAGAGAGCCAGCAATGCTTTTAAAACATGGAGCAGGTACAGCACTCCAGCAATTTGCGATTCAAACACAGAAATATTAACATTATTGTAAAACAAATAATTTACATTAATACATGAATTTATTTAACAGGCAAAGTAATTATATTAAAAACTAACTAAATTAATACAAAACTAAATGTAATGTACTTATTTTTCATTCATTTCTTTAGCTATATTTTTAAAGCTGTAATAAATGACAATTGATTTATTTTATGAGTAATAATTTTATATGCAACTTTGTGAGCAAGCACAAGTGTTTCTGTCCGTCTCTCATCATGCAGTTATTTGTGACTGAATTAGCACATTTGAGAACAATTTCTCTTTTTTAAATTCAATAGAATTTTATTTCATTCATTATTGGCATATCGTTTTAAAGTTATGTATTCATTTACATTTATATTTTACACTGATGGTTTCCTGTTGTAGATATGTTTGCTCTTTTGACTCTTTCCATTTTGCACATTTGTTCGATGAGTGTGATTTCAGAGTCTGTGAGTTCTGAGATGAATTGCATTCATATGCCTGACTGCATTATTAATGCCTCGCATGACCATGATGTGTGTGTCTGTGTGTGTTCATACTGCAGGCGCTGGTTCTCCATTCAGAAGAACCAGTTGGTTTACCAAAAGAAACATAATGTAAGTATCAGATTGTGTAGCGTAAGGATGACATGACATAGCATTAACCAATAATAGTAATGACACATTGATTCACTCACACATACTGATGCATTTACACACCCACAAACCACAGACAAAATGTTGGGAAATTGGAAATTTATAGAGAATTGAGAGGCTGTTTTAAATGTTCTCTTTTTTGGTGACATTATACGCCGCACATGCAGACCACATTTGTTTTATTTAAACAAGCTCTCTGTCTCTCTGTATCAGGAGCAGATCACTGTTGTTGTGGAGGACTTGCGTTTATGCACAGTGAAGCCCAGCAGTGAACAAGACAGACGATTCTGCTTTGAGGTCGTCTCTCCCTCCAAGTGAGTCTCTCTGTCTGTACACAAATCTGTCAGAACTGGAATATAATGTGTATGTGTATTTTTGAGCATGCAACATTTTTCTGATTCCTGTGTTCTTGCGTTTGGGTTCTGGCTGTATTTAGACTGTAAGCAGTCCTGTAAATATGTTATTCTGCATTTAGACAAGTCTGTGCATAACCCGCCCATGCTCCAAATGACAGGATCTGTGTGTGTTTGTGTAGGAGCTGTTTATTACAGGCTGATTCAGAGCGACAGCACCAAAGCTGGATCAGCGCTGTCCAGAACAGCATCGCCTCAGCATTCCAGGACAGAAGAGATGACAATCTTGGCCCTGTATGTCACGCACATTCGCATTTAACTAAACACCTAACTGTAGACATACCATAGACTATAATACTACAGACTAGATATGTCAGAAGCACCAAGTCTACACTAAAATAAATAATAATGTAACGATAACAATCTTTCTACAGTATTGTTAGCACTGTCTGCAGCACTCACATGCATATTTAGATGTATGCTCTGTGAATAATAATATTTTGCTATGGTCAAATGTGCTTCTTGGTCAGAATGCCTTGCGTCTTGGCAGCACAGTCGATTTGTCTTAAGTGAATGTAAACAGGTGGGGCAAATAAATCACACACGTATATATAAGAATATTAAATTTGTGCCTTAAGCCTTGCAGTGTAAATGTAGACCTGCCACTGTCTAAAATGTTAATCAAACTACACTATTATGAGAAAAAGGGAAAAGCACTTACATATTTTGTTTAATTTTTTTATTTTACCTTTTGAATTTAAATGTTTAATTAAATGTTAAAATTACAGTAATATTGATTACTGAACTACTATTGAATTTTTGTAAACCCCAACATTACCCCCTATTCTTTAAAGAATATGCATTCTTTTATATATAATGTAATATAAAATAATCATTTTTATTTCGATTTTTTAAATTTTGTATGATTTTTTTAGTCAGAGGTATAGTAGGTGCAGCTTTTAATGTTAGATTTGTTAAAAAAAATTTATTTAGAATGTATTATTTATTTTTAAAAATGTATGAAATAAATAATAATTATTATTTTTAGAGTAAACAATTTAATTTCCACTTGCACACTCATGCCCAAGTGTGCTGAATTAAGCTGAATTAGCTAAAATGCTATATTTTAATGAAGGACAAAAATGTGAGTGTTATAAAAGGATGTGTGTTTGTTTGTGTGTGTGTGTGTGTGTGT